TTTTTTTTCTATTCAAAACAGTAAGTGTGGCACCTTTCTGAAATCTTTATTAAATGAGCAATTTTTTTATGTAATGTAAAGTTATAGCTCAGTACATTTTTTTTTCACCCGAGATAGTCAAAGTTGGGGAAGAAAATATCAAAAAGTTAAAAATCCAGAAATAGTCCTAATTTTATGATGGTTCCTTAATTTATTTTAACTACATTGCACTTGAGTATGGAGAGGCAACTATCTGGAAGTATTTTACATAAAAAATTTACTAAGTATTGCCCGGTTTGTAGTTGCAGTTAAAGAAAACACATGAAAAGGCACGATTTTTTTTAAATTCGAAAAAATTTAAATATTTCAAAAACGGTGACACTTTTACCTGAAAATTTTTTGTTTATCAGTGAGCTCACTCCCCCACCTACCTTGCCCTAAAGTTTGGCACGTTACTTCTGGGACACCCTGTATAACAAACACCATATAAATCTACATTTCAAACTTTGTGCAAAAATTATAAAAAATCTACAAAGTTTCAGCTAAATTTTCAACTTTCTATTCAGATTTTTTTAGAATTTTTTTGAGTATGTACATAGTCTAATAGCCAGGGTAATAATGTGCATGTTTTATGTAGCTGAATAACTTTTTATGGAAAAAATGCGTCAAATAATAAACATAAAATAAACAAAAGGAAAATAGTCAGATTTTTTCAAAATGTTGGTGATTTAATTAGTTGACAAGTAATAAATTACGGGGAAAAATTGTGCTACTATCTCAAAAGACTCCCCCATATATCCTATAATTCTAAATATTTTGCTATATCATGGAGAAATAAGCGCAAGTTATTAATATTATTTATTTGTTTTGCATTATAGATACTGGATATTTCGATCTTGGGGTCGAATCGGCACTACCATTGGAGACCACAAATTGGAAAGTTTTACCAACTTAATCGAAGCTAAACGATCATTTTTTCATATTTATTTCGACAAAACTGGAAACGAGTTTGATAACCGTCAACATTTTGTTAAGGTACGTGTGTAAATTTAAAAGAAATTTTGTACTACAAATGGGCATAATGAAAGATTTATTTTTCTTTACAATTTGGTATACAATTTTGAAAATCTGCAATAAAATATTAAAAACAGATAGCACAACATAATTTTGCCGCTATTGCCGTTTGAAATCCTGTGATAGAACTGCTTTATTTGGCGCACGACTATCATTTTAGAAGATTTTATTCTTTTATGAACTTTAAATAAACCCCTAACAGTTTGCACTTGAGACACTTGGATAATGTTTGACCCAAAAGATTTTGCGCATTCAATTTTCTTCAACTTCCTTTCTGTCATCGTAATCGATGGATTTCATTTATTTTATTTATTTACTTATTTATTTTATTTAAGAAATGAGTATGTATTTTTAAGACTTTTCAGTCTTTTATAATGCAATCAACGCGCATTAATTTACAAAATTAGAATCTTAAATCTAACATGAAACAAATATATGATAACAATAAATTTAAATACAAAATCTTTAAAATTAAAACTTAACACCAAAAACAGAAATTATCACTCCTACAAAGAAACACAACCATCTGTACATTATAGATATTACAGAAAAATTAAATGGGGAATCTTTATTAGAGCCACAGAAGCCAAATCAACAATTTTTAGAATTTGTGTCCGTCTGTATGTTTGTCGGCGCATCACTCGAAAACTAATGCATGGAATCGAATTCAGTTTTTACCGATGTATTGCTTGGGGCCTAATTCAAAATATATAAGAAAAAATAGAGAGTTGCTACTTGTTTGAAAATTTCAGTTTAGGTACATTGATAAGATAAATTGTCACCTTACCTTTTGTTTACAAAAGCCGACCTACCTAATGTCCCAAATAAATGCACTTACCGTGCGCAACAACAATACGCCGGACCAAACTAAGTAAACAAATAAACGCACAAAAGGTAAACGCACAAAAAGGAGATGACAAAAAAACCATGCAACCGGCCGACTCAGTGGAGACGGCGGGGTTGCTGGCAGGGGGGACAAAAAGAAAGTATACAGACTATTCAAACTAAATAAAATGCACTAGTTATCACACACAATAAATATGAAGCTACCAACACTAGGGTGGGCCGGAAACAAGGCAACTAGATTTACAACCAAAGAAATCGAAACAAAACAAAACCTTATTTTTGGGGCGCACCCGAAGTGAGGTGTAACCAAAAGGTTACGAACCCACTCGCTGCCGGGGATATCTTTAACCTGCCTGTATGACTGGGCTCAGGGTGCAGGATGCTAAACAGGATCGGAAACGGAAACACAATAAGAGGAAGCCTGCCGACAACAATAACGCCTGAACACAGACGCACCAAAAGAGAACGATACTTATCGGCGGTCGGAGGGCGTTCCGACCGCAGGGGTGCTCCTCGGGAATATGGCTCCCAACTCCGGTGCCGACTTCACCACGCCTCGACTGGCGCTGCTCGAAACTAATTGCTACTGCTACTGCAACCTAAGTGCCCCGCCTGGCACTTACTGAATATTTATTCAAGATAAAACACTTCGCACTACGTATAAAAGCACTCGCGCTCGCGATAAGGATGTTGCCTTTCTCAAAGCTCGCTTAGAACTGCCCCGATACGAGCCAGGCCGCAATCTACGCACCGGTACGCAAACCGTTGGAGTGTCAGCGCCGGTGTTGTTGGTGCCCCATCGATTGGCGCCGGCCCGATCATTCTAGAAGCGAATTGGGCGCTTTCGCGGTCGCCACCACGGCGCACACAACCAACACCATAGACTAGACTTGCCATTTCCATCATACGGCGGACAACAAAAGTGCCGCAATAGGTGAGAACAAAAGCGACACCCCTACTACGGTCTTTCGCGTCATCTCTCATTCCTAAATTCTTACTCTCTGTCGGCACCGTTTTGGGGTGTAGTGCCCTAATGGAGACCCTTCTCCTTTGCGGTGGCGCTCCACAACAACAAACAACTATTTCGCTCAATTTGAGCCCATTCTACTATTTATTTAGGTATGCACATACATATGTACACTTGAGTGTCGGTAGACTTCACTCCTATCGGTTGGAGTGAAAGAAAATAGGTAAATATAACGAAGGGGAACAAAAGAATATTTTGTTGCGGCCAGTACGCGACAACCCCACCCCTTCCTCCTTAAAAAGAAAGCCCGCTTTCTTTTTCCGACAAATCTATTTCCTATCCATCCCTGTATGGCCTTAACTCCTTCACATGCCACGTCCCTTTAGCCCGACCTGCTTCGTTCACCAGAACATACGTCCATGGCGAAACCTTTTTTACTACAAACGGTCCTACGTAGTTCGGCGCTAACTTCGCCGCGAAGAAATTTGCTGCATCTGACAGAACGAGATTCTTCCTCCAAACTAGTTCTCCTGGCATATATTGAACGTCTCTCCTCCTAAGGTTATATTGCTTCGCTAACTTGGCACTGGCCTCTTCTAACCTAGACCTCACAACCCGCCTAGTTGCTTCGAGGTTCCTTGCTCGCTCGTTGTCGCAGACCACCGACCGAGGAACTCTGAACAAAAGAAATACCTCATCCTCAGGAACCTTACAGATGCCCTTCGCCGTGGCAGTCCGTAAGGGGAATAAAAGTGGAGACTTCGAAAAATATTCTACCACCGTTAAAATATACTGGTAGCCCTGGGTCGACTTCACCAAGGGCACTACATACGACCCTACCCCCAGCTGGCTGTGAATTATCAGGCTTAACCTGCTGACAAAATTTACAATTCCTCACATACTTCGCTATATCCGCCTTCATCTGTGGACAATAAAATTTTTGTGCAACCCAGCGAAAGTTTTTCTGGCACCCATATGACCCGCCACTTGGTCATCATGTTTCTTTAGAACCACCAACCTTTCCTGGCGCCCTAGGACCTTTTTCCAATCCGACGAGTTTCCATAGATAGAGGGCAACTTCGACCTAACGAATTTGTAGAGGTAGCCACCTTCTACTCTCCACGCTGGATATGACACGGGTTCCTTTTCAACAGAGCGAATCATTTTCAACAACCAAGGGTCACTAGTAGAAACTTCAGAAGCAAGTGGCACACTACGAGACAACATATCTGGAACCACATGTTCCTTGCCCTTCCGGTGTACAATCTCAAAATCGTACTGCTGAAGCTTTAATGCCCAACGCGCCAACCTACCACAAGGATCCTTCAAATTGTTTAGCCAAACTAAGGAATAGTGATCAGTGACAACCGTAAACGTAGCGCCCTCAACATATGGCCGCAATTTCTCAACCGCTCCACTCCTCTATCGTTGAATAATTTTTCTTATTCAGGGACCTACTCAAATCTCTCAGCGTCGTCAAATCTCTGGGTCAACACTGCTCCTATACCGAAATCAGGCCTCTCAAAATCTGGACAGCTCAGAACCGGCGCTGTCACTAGGAACTCCTTCGCCTCCCTTAAGCTCCTTTCACAATCTTCGTTCCACTCGAATTTTCGATTTTTCTTTGTTAACTCCGTGAGGGGCCTAACTAATTCCGCGAAATCTTTTATAAACCTACGGTACCAGGATACAGTACCTATAAAGGACCTAACCTGTTTGACATTTTTGGGTCTCTCGCTGTTAACCATCGCCTCTACCTTCTCTGGTGGGTTCGACCTAACCCTTCTGGCATAGCCTTGAACGCTCGGGCCGCTAGCTCCTCTAAGGCCCTAGCCTCTCTACTGCCTAGCTGGGAATGGTCCACTATCGCCGCCAACGACTCCTGTTCCGGTTGAGAAAAGCTCCACCTCATCTTCATCAAATCCGGGATGATACCCGCCTTGGTCCAAAAACCGACACCAAGGATAAGACTCTGAGACAAACCGGGGACTGCGAGGCACTCCAGGAGGACCGACTTGCCTTCCACCTCGATTGGTAACGAAACCGAACCTAAAACCGAAATATGGCTTCCATCCGCCAAAGTCACTTTTAAAGAGTTGGGTAAAGAAGACGCCCTAATGACCCAAGAACTCAAAATACTCCAACCGAATTGACCAATCACCGTCCTCGTCGCTCCAGAATCCAACAACGCTCGAAAAAAAAACCAAAAATTTTTATGTCTAAATACGGACGCTTATCGAAGCCATCCGCCACCAAAGAATATGCTAACCGAACATTCGACTCAAACCTACTTTAGCCAGCTGGGAGTTAGCAGGATTACTAACTCGCTGTACAAGACCACCCGACCTGCCGTCCCAGAGTATACCTCCCGTTTCCCGACTTTTTTTCCGACCTAACATTCGACTTCGAATTCGACCAACTATTCGCCCTACTATTTGACTTCGACTCCGACCTAAACGGGTTTTGGTTCCGCCGACCACCTCCACCTGGACTACGCTGGGTACCCTGGGCACCATTCCGCTTCGCTGCACACACCGGGCAGTCCCGCTTCATGGCCCCAGGCCTACCACAGCCGAAGCACTTTATTCCCTTTCTACAATCAGCTGAAACATGACCAAACCGTCCGCCACTGATCCCGGGGTAACTAGCCGCAACTGGGTCTGATAAAAAGGAAGAAGATTCGCCCTAAATATTCCTAACAACCTACTCTCAGACAACGGCTCCTGTAATCTGCCAAACATTATTTTCATCGCCGCCACATACACTCCGATGGACTCATTCGATCCCTGAGTCCGCCGGCGAATCGCGTCCATTAACAGGTCGTCGTAGTTGGAGGGCAGGAACTCCAACTTCAGCTCCCTGACCAGCTCCTCCCAACTACTTATCGTCCGCCACCACAATAGCGCCTTTCCTGAGAACAAGTCCACCGCACCTCGAAAAGGTTGAGCTGGAGCCACACCGCGGGCCTCGCTCAACTCATCTACCCTCTCCAAGAACCCGTGAACCGACAGACCCGACTTCTCACCGTCGAAGCGCACGTCCCACTTCGAGAGGTTTTCCTGCTTCAGAGTCCCGAATGACTCCACCGGTCCGCGCGCCCGCTCCTCGTCCACCTCTCCGGGTGCCGCTGCCGATTGTACCGCGTTTT